GAGGAATCTTCATCAATGGAAATTGAATTTATTTCTCAGATCTAAGTTAGATGCCTAGATTATTGAGATATTAGGAATAAGTATCATGATCTAGTAATCCTATAATTTTTAAAACTTAATACAGTATTTGATTAAATTTTACCTAAAGAATTAGGAAGGTTTAATTAGGTATTAGGATCAATGAGACAAGGAATTGTCCTTTGGTTAAAAAAGTGAAATTGATTATCAATCAATTAAAATTCTTAAGAGTCCAGAACATGATTATATTGCAATTGAAAATCTAGTAAAGTGATTCTTAACTACTTTTCACATAGTATTATCAATCTAAAATTTGTATCTTGTTTTACAGCATTTTATTACCTTTTAATGTTCTTATTTCTCATCTTTTTACATGTTACAAATCTTCCAAATGAATTGTGTGGCTCAACTAATTGCCAAATTGTGAAGTGGTAATTGAAAATAAGATTCCTGTGGACGATACTTGAGACTCATATTGATTTTCAAAATTTTATTACTTGCTACAAATACCTAGTATACTTGCTAGTTAGTAGTTCTCTCTAATTTTTGTAACACTTTCAATTAGTGAACATTTCTAAGTTGATTATAACCAACAAATGATAACGAATAATATAAGGAGTGAAATAAAATTAGCCGATGTGGGATGTTCAAATACAACATAGATTGATGGTCATCCTCAACAATAAAATAGCAGTAAAATTAGTGTATAATCCAAAGTATGCAAAAACATAAATAACTATATATAAATTTAATTTATGAGTTTCTTAGGAATATCGACAAAACTTATTGGTGGGCAGTTACCTTTTAGGCTATTACATGGTATATACAGTTGTGACTGAAGTTCATATGAGACATTTAAAGAGGGATGATGAAAGGCATTTTTCACAATTGTAAGATGAACGGTGATAGAGTAACTATAGGTATGAATGATGTTTGACTTGGCATAAATGGTAGTAGTCCTTGATCCTCTGTCAAATGATGTGATCTATGTTAGATGCGCTACCAAATGCTTCATATTTTGTTGCTCAATAAATGATATATGATGCGTTAATTGTGACGATCCAAATGCATATCCTTGTATGACATCAAAGCCTATAGCTCTAACACGACTAGGATGCTTAGATACACCAAATGGAAAAGATAGGATGTGGTGTCTCGCCTACAATTTTGACCCATCTTTGGGGGTGGCTGATGATCGCTAGATTTGCATAAAGATTTTGTCACCAATCCTCATCAAAATGTGCAGAAAAATTAATATAGTCTAAGGTGCAAGCCTAAGTTATCTCCAATGACATTGGTTGAAAACATACATTAAACATGTTGAAAATATCAACTAAGAAAGCAAATAAATAGGGGGGGGGGAGGGGAAGGGGGATTTGTGTGATTCTAAGTTCAATGCAAAGAGAAAGAAGCAAAATTATAAAGTTCAATGCAAAGAGAAAGAAGCAAAATTATAAAGTTCAATCAATAAAGTGCAATAACCCCTAGTTTATTCATATAGATTCTATCCTCATTCCTCTTAAGATTTAATACACTTCCTCTTCTCCAGAATTAGGTTAATTTAACAAATCAAAATCAACCTTAAATTTCCATACAAAATTAAGCAATTCAATGGACTCTAATCTCTCATCCCATGATTAAATAACCTTAGAAATAAACCCAAAATTAAGCAATTCAAGTTTCGAATCTCATTAAAATGAATTAAGGTTAATTAAGCAATGTACCCCTCATTCAACCATTAATTCAATTCAAGAGATTAGAAAGAAGAAATTCTGAATAGAAAAGGATTTGTATTAACATTCAAAATCCAATACTTCAAGAATTTAAGTGAACTCACTAAGGATTACAAAGGGTTTAGCCGTTCATGAGGATGGGTCTCAGAATTACAAAATGAAAGTGAAGAGAAATTAAAAAAATCAATGTAAAAATGAAAGAGAAGTAAGAAGAAAATGAAATTCAAACCCCAGGTTGGGTCCATGGCTGTCACCCAAGGTTCACCTAGTTCTACAAAGTGTTCCTAAAATGGAAAAAATCTAAAAGTGTCAAAAGATCCTAACCCTCATTACTAAGAATCTATTTATACTAAGTCTGACGCCCCCTCATAGTAATTACTCTTGCTCACAAGAGAAAACACGCACAACATCCACAGGTTTCCTCCCTTCTGTAGTGATCACTCTCATGTATAGCAGTTGTTACTTTGGGCCCACGTAGTTACTCTCACTTACAAGAGTAAACACGCGCGGGTAGTTTTAGTCTGGGGCTTCACTGGAGTGATTACTCTTGCTTACAAGAATGAACACGCGCAAGACTGGGTGCTTCCTTTGGCATTGGAGTGATTACTCTCGCTTCTGAAAGTGGATACTCTGAATTGTCCTTTGGAATTGGCTCTCTAGAGTAGTTACTATGATGCCTGAGAGTAATTACTTTAACCTCATATTTTTTAAATAGCCAAAAATCCATGGAATTTGTCTGGAATTTCCTGCACAATTATTCAAATGATCAAAATTGCAAAATATATTTATAGAAATTAGCGTAAATAAGATAAAAATTAAAAAAGCTATAATAATTGACCTAAATGAAATTTTTATATTATTTACAATTTTTAAGTCTATTTTTCTATTAAAAATCTATAAAAAGATAAACAAAATATCTATAAAATGTGGATTTATCGCAACCCCAAACTTATACTTTTTCTTATCCTCAAGCAAATCAAAATTCAAGAAAATTGAATGTAAAAGGTTAGATTTATCCAAAACATTTTCTCAAAGATTTTCTTCCAATCTTAGACTCTTAATTGGCACTTCCAATATTTCCAAGATCATGGATTTATTCAACAAAGAAATCACACTTTTATTAATTATCTTCATGCAAAGAAATTATCTAGCTCACAGGATAGTGTTTCACTCTTCACTCATCAATGTTTAAGGCTAAGTGTTTCCCCTCAATTCATACATTTTACCCAACCCTACCATATACTTGCCCATATTCTCAATCTCCCTTGCCTTAATACAATGAATCACCTATCATGAGGGCTTTGTTGGTCACAATGGGTTAGGTTAGGTTTAATTTTGATCAAGGAGGGTTAAAAGCTTAAGTTGTTTTCAAGAGAAGGGAGTTCTTTTGAGTGAGTGAGTACAACAACTTAGAATGGAATGCATTAAATGATACAGCTTAAGAGGTTCAAGCATTCTTTCACCACATTTTTCATTAATTTGCCTTATATGGAAATCTTTTCAACTCATGCCCTTGTTGTATATTTCTTGTTCTCTCTTTTTATTAATATGTATAATGTCCACCACCCTAAACTTAAGATATTGCTTGTCCTCAAGCAACTATAGTCATAATTTGTACCCTAAACTTAGTTTCTTGCATTCACTCTTGATGTAACTCAAAAGAAATTCTTCTCTTAAGGTAAAAAAAATAATTTTTGTAGACTAAGTTTGGCAAAAATAATAATTTAGACAAGATAATTATATGCAGGGAGTGTTCTAGGGTGGATGAATGTGTGCAAAGAAGGTCTCAATCATCTACATGAAAAATTGCACAATGCATATTAAATTAAGAAGCAGTGCAAGTTCTAGAGGATAGATGCAAAAATACATGTAAAGTGAACACATAAATAAAATTTAAGGCTCAATTCTCTACCATGATAAAGATAATTACTTAGTAACATGTGAGTACAGTTCACCTTATAAAAAAATATGTTCAATATGGTAGGAATGGTAATTGTTTACAAAGCACAATGTGTTCATGAGTTGAATGGAAAGTGTAATAAGATTGTAAGATCAGGATTACAAAACTGAACAAAAATAACAAAAATGTTTTTGTATTTTCTATGTTAACTGTGCAGGAAATTCAAATTAAAAACATATGAAACAAAGACAAAGAGATCACCCCCTTTTCATAAATGATGGATTCATAACTCAGAGATCAAATTCATGATCCTCTTGATGGGACTAAAGGGCATTCTGTACACAAAGACGCAAAATGAATTAAGAAAAGTACAGAAACTGAACTATTAATGCGATATATGAAAGTGTCAAATATTGTTCAAGGATAATGCTGGAGGAGGAGAGGTCATTTGCTTCTTCCTCTTCCTCTTTTGAAGAACTAGAGTTGTTATTCTCCTCAGCTGCTAGTGTAGGTGCAGTGGCTGTAGTGGTAAAGGGAGGTAGGTCTTGGTTAACTATTGCTCTGAGGAATGGTGTAGTGAATGTAGGGACTTCATAAATCTGTTCTGATGCCATGCCCAACTTTTTTCCTATGTTAAGCATCATATTCTCCATCAGGTTCAGCATTGACTTTTGGCCAGCATGCAGTGCATCCTGCCTCAGTGCTATCTATTTTACCTATTCTCTCAATTTTAATGGTGTTCATTTCTTGTATTCAACAGGTAGAGAAAGACCTGGGTCAACAGTCTTCTTTCTAGGATTAAATAGGTCCTTCACCAAGGCTGTAGTGATAGGATGAGCTGCTCTGATCCTCTGTTGATACTCACCCATGTCTACTCCTGCATCTTGGTAGAGCATGGTGATGATGGATGGGAAACCAAGTGAATCCTCTTGGTGCTCAAGATGTTCATGATGAAATTGCTAATAACATCTCCCACATGGATGGGCATGCCAGTGAGAATGACATAAATGAGTTCAGCTCTCTTGACAGCTAGAGTGGGTGAGTGATGAACTGCCATGAAACAGTTCAGAAGGAAAATGCTCCACACCTTGACTGGAGGAAGGAGATGCTTTGTGGTTAGATTCTTGGGCTGGAGTTGCATGTCAAACTCTCAATTCTCCCCAGGTTTACACATGGCTTGTAGAATAGGCTTGTAGTCCTTCTCTTTCAGATTGTTGAAGGTAGAGAAGTTTAGCTGCCCATCTTGCCTCTCCTTTCAGCCTCATTGCGTTAGCATAAAATTCTTAGGTGATCTCCTTCCACCCATTTCTAGCGTAGGTGGTAAAAAGGTCTCATCCCCTTCTTTGGATTTATTCCTGAAACTGAGTGTAAGTGCCCTGTTGGATCTCAAAATTCTGATCCTGCACTATCTGTCTTCTGAGATTAGCCCTGTAATAGTTCTCGTGGGCAATTGATATGAACTTAGGATCATGTGTGGGTGGAGGTTGGGATGATGAAGCACCAACAGTCCTAATCTTCTTGGTTCTTGGAGTGTTTCTTGGGGTGTTTACCATTTTGCTACAGGGAAAGGAAAAGAAATAGTGAGTTAATTGTATAAGGATATAGCAAAAATAGTAAGGTTGGTGTACTTCTAGATTCAAAATGAGAGTGAATATCAAAGTAATTACTATGAAGTTTTGTGTTGTCATAGTGATTACTATGTGAAAATTACAATAATTACTCTAGGTGCAATATGACAAGCAATTGATGTAGGAAAATAGATACAAATCAATTTAAAAGTGTAAACTTTACATGAAATAACATGCAAATGGCAGTATGCATTTGTGGCAATAGGTGGGCAATACTTGTGCAAGAAGAATGTATTGCAGAATAATCGATATGCTATCAAAGTATTCACTATAGGAAAGGCTAATAATTACTGTGGAACATAAATCTGCCAAGGTGTGCATGCAGCAACAGTCCAACACAAGTGCAATCATGCAGAGAAATGCAATAGTTAATGAAAATGCATGGGGATGTAGCTGTCACAGGTTGATTGGATGCAACAGATTGCAGAAAAACTAGGCCAAGCATATAGAGTACAATTCAAAGTAGTTACTCTAGCCTTAAAAAAATTCACACACAGACAGTGAACACTTTTGGACATGAGAGTTACCACTTTTAATGTGTAAAATTGAAAAAAGAATGTGTGTGTGCAGTGTATGGTCATGCAGATTTCCAGCAACACTAATGAAATGTTCAGGGCTGGTTATGTGTATAAAGGGAGAGTGTAGCAATAACAAAATCATTCAAAATTCAAAGCACCAGATAATCTCAAAGTGAACAATATATTGGAGAAATTTGCAGACAAGTAGTTACTTTTATGTATGACAGTAAACACTATAGGGGTTTATTCATGACAAAATCAATTAGAACAGAATGTTGTGTATTAACTATGGAAAGATGAAATGTAGCATAAGTCAGTTATTACACACCCAGAACGAACCTAGGGTAGGCACTAACACATTAGGACATTCAAAGTAAGCACTTTTGTAGGCGAGAGTAACTACCCTAGGGTTTAACATGGCCAAATGTTGTAAAATAATTGAATCAAATGCTCCCATTATCCCTTAATCACAAAAAAAATCCTTGGAATTACATATTTTAGTCAGCAATTGTAGTCCAGAGGTCTCTAATTCAGAATCCCCAATTCACAGTAAGGAACCCCAGTTTAAGAGATGAGTGATTAAGCAATTACCTGGTTCAAATGTGCAGAGCTGTGAAAAATTGCAAAAAAGCAGGATCCTTGGTGCAAGAAATCAAATGCGAGGGTGGAAAGTGATAAAGAATTTGAAAGTAGGAGTGAAAATGCTCAGAAATTGAGTGAGGATGACTGAGATAGTGAGTACGATATATATATATATATATATATATATATATATATATATATATATATATCTATAAGTGGCCAAATTAATTACTCTCAAAACTGATAATAAACATGCGTAATGTATTTTTTTCATATTGAAGCTGCGCGTGATTACTCTCACTTATAAGAGTAACTACCATCTATATTTCCGAAAAAGGCTCTGTGTGTTCACTTTTGTAAGTAAGAGTGAACACTCCAGAGAGCTTTACACTGTGTGATTTGCACAAATGCTTGGGCGTGTTCACTTTTATAAGTGAAAGTGGATACGCGCACCTACTTTAGCTTAAATGCTTTGAAAGTAATCACTCTCAACTATGAGAGTGCTCACTATAGAGAGCGAGTACGCAGGTCTAAGCTGAAAGTGATTATTCTTGTTTAGGAGAGTGATTACCTTTATGATAATCTTTCATTTTTCTTATCAAAGTGATTACCTTAAGCCATGGAGGTGGTTACTATCTTACTGCATCTAAATTTTCTTGACTTTATGCAGTACTTAGGTCAAAAAATTGCAATCTCACCTCGCAAAAACAATAATTATGTAGAAAAACAAGTCAATTGCTAAGGCAAAATGCAAAGAGTAATGTTTATGCATTAAGAGAATAAAATATTAAAATTCAAATGTAAGACCATCATTTATTGCAGAAAAACAACTAAAATTCCTGAGAACATTGTGAGTTGCCTCTCACACAGTGCTTCTTTAACGTTACTAGCTTGACGTATGAAGTGGATTAGTCAGGATAAGGGTTGTGAAGGTCAATCTCTTCAACCTCCTCCTAGGAAACTGAATTTTGCAAGAAATGTTTCAAGCGATGCCTATTTACCATGAAGCTCTTACTAGTGGAGTCACTCTTAATTTCCATTGAACCATGAGGGAGTACCTTTATGACTGTGAATGGTCCTACCCACCTTGATCTAAGCTTTCTAGGCATGAATTTGAGGCGGGAGTTAAACAAGAGGAGCTTTTGACCAGCACAGATCTCTTTTCTAGATATCATCTTGTCATGGTACCTTTTGGTCTTTTCTTGATAAATTCTTAAGTTCTTATAAGCCTCAAGATGCAACTCCTCTAATTCTTGCAATTGCAACCTTCTTTGCTCCCCAACTGAGTCATAGTGTAGATTACAAGTCTTCACTACCAATATGCCTTGTGTTCTATCTCAACTGGAAGATGACAAGTTTTTCCATAATCAACTTTATATGGGTTCAGGAACTCCCTCTATTCTGCTCAGATGGTTTGTTGCTAAATTCTGAGTTCCACTTCTGTCTTTGATCTCTAAATCAAACTTTTGAAGTAAAAGCATCCACTTTATTAGCCTAGGTTTAGAATTTGTCTTTTTCAACAAATATTTCAAGGCAGAATGATCACTAAAAACCATAACTTTTGACCCTAAAAGATATGACCTAAATTTATACAATGCAAAGACTATGACTAATAATTATTTTTCAGTTGTGGTGTAATTATACTGTGTTGGGTCCAGGGTTCTAGAAGCATAGTAAATAATATGGGAAAATTTACCAACCCACTGTGCTAAGATAGTTTCCACTGCAAAATTTGAGGCGTCACACATAAACTCAAATGGCATTGTCCAACCTGGAGGTTGGATGATAGGTGTGGTGGTTAAGGCCTTCTTAAGAATGCCAAATGCCTCTTTGCACTTCTCATCAAAGTTGAACTCAGCTTCTTTTTGCAAAAGTTTGGAAAAAGGAATGGCAATCTTGGAGAAGTCCTTAGTGAATCTCCTGTAAAATCCTGTATGGCTAAGAAAAACACAAACCTCTCGGACATAAGAGAGGCAAGGCAATTGTACAATAACATCTAATTTTGTAGGATCTACTTCAATGCCTTTTTCAGATATAATATGACCTAGAAATACACCTTGCTCTACCATGAAATGACATTTCTCAAAATTCAGCACATGGTTAGTATCTATGCATCTTTTCAAAACTTTCTCTAAGTTAACTAAGCATTCAGAAAAAGATGGGCCGTATACAATGAAATCATCAATAAAAACTTCTATACAATGTTCCACTATGTCAGAAAAAATGCTTAACATACATATTTGAAATGTGTCAGGATCATTGCATAAGCCAAAAGGCATTCTCCGATAAGTGAAGGTGCCAAACGGACATGTATAAGTAGTCTTTTCCTGGTATTCAAGATCTATGCATATTTGAAAATAACCAGAAAAACCATCAAGAAAACAGTAATGGAACTTACTAGCTAACCTCTCTAGCATCTGATTAATAAAGGGCAGTGGAAAGTGGTCCTTCCTGGTTGCCTGGTTTAGCCTCCGATAGTCTATACAGACTCTCCAACTATTCTAAACTCTGGTGGGTATTAGTTCATCCTTCTCATTCCTCACAACGGTGAGTCCAGATTTTTTTAGAACCACTTGGACTAGGTTGACCCCAGTGTTGTCTAAAATTGGATAGATGATCTCAGCTTGAAGTAACTTGGTGACCTCCTTCTTCACCACGTCCAATATAATTAGATTCATCCTCCTCTGAGGCTGTCTCACTGGTTTAACACCCTCCTCTAATAGTATTTTGTTCATGCATAAAGAGGGAGTAATTCTAGGAATACCAGCTAGTGTCCAACCTATGGTCTTCTTGTGCCTCTTTATCACTTCAAGTAGTCTCTTCTTCTCATCAACATCTAGCTTGGTGGAGATTATCACTGAGAGTTTTTCATCTGCTTCTAGATAGGCATATTTCAAATGTTCTAGTAATGGCTTAAGCTCTAGGGTGGAGGGTTGCTATACAAATGAAAGTGATTTGGCACTTTCATTTGTTTGAATTTTTGCAACATTCAAATTATGAGGGTTAGATTCAAATGTACTTGTTATACTCAATAATTCATATTCTAGCCCTATTGATTTTTCAATCTCTTTAACATCAGAGGTTGCAGAATTTGCATTCAAAAAATCAGAAATACAAGTGTCACATAAAGAAGAATTATTACAAGATTCACAAATGAGAGTATCTATACAATCAGAAAAAAAAAAATCTTCTTCTAAAAATTCAAAAAATTTATCATCCATCAGAGCATTAAAAAGATTAATGTGGAAGACAGAATGATACTCAGGTGGGTGCTTCGTGGCATCCAATATGTTAAAACGCACTATGTTGTCTCCAAATTCTATGGTAAGTGTTTCGGCATATACATCAATCTTCGTTCTTACAGTCTTCAAAAATGGTCTTCCTAGAATTATTGGTGCAACACTCTTCACTGATTTGCCTTCTTGCATATCCAGAATGTAAAAGTTAGCTGGGAAAATGAGGTCGTTTACTCTGACTAATACATCCTCAACAATTTCATCTGGATTTGTTATGCTCTTGTTGACCAACTAGATAACCTCCAAGAGATAGTGAAGTAAAAATAGACAATGACATAACATTGATGGATGCTCCTAAATTTAGCATGGCATTATCAATCCTATTGTTACCAATGATGAATGGAATGGTAAATGTCCCTAGGTCTTTACATTTTTCAAGCATTATAGACTTCTATTTCTCAAACAGTATAGAAACATTTCTACCCATGTTTACCCTTTCATTACCCTTCAGACATCTTCTGTGGGTACACAAGTCTTTCAGAAATTTGGCATATCTGGGTATTTGTTTAATTGCATCTAGTAGAGGTATATTCACCTCTACTTTCCTGAAGGTCTCTAAAATCTCTTTGTCAGTTTTTGTAGTCTTTTTACTTAGTTGAATGACTCTTTAAGGAAATGGTAGAGGAATTGCTCTTTCAACATCTTCTACTGCCTTTCGTTGGGTAGGTGCAGGTTCTTATTGTTCTTGATTATTTTCCTCTCCATTCTTGTCAATTGTAGCTGGAGTGTAGCTTAAATCTTCTTTGTCCATGGGTATTTCAAGTTCTTGCATCACTTTTCCAGACCTCAAGGTTATTGCACTCACATTTCTGGAGTTTACAACGGTATATGTAGGGAGATTTCCTAAATCTTAAGATTGAATTTGGTTCAGATAGGAGGCTAATTGTTCCATTTGGTTTTTAAGAGTTTTGATGCTAACCTCAGTTCTTTGCTAGAAAGTGATGTTGTTAATGGCCACTTATTTCATGACCTCTTCCAATGATGGCTCATTCTTCTAGGGTGCACTGGGTTATGAGGAAGATGATTGGTGATGTTGTGGAGCTTGTTGTGGTTGATGGGATTTACTTGGACCAACATGATATGCTTGATAATTGTTGCCTTGCTACTGGTTATTTTGATGTGAGGAGTTCCATATCTTAGATTTGGATGGTTCTTCTAGACAGGGTTGTATCTGTTTGAAGATAAATTCCAATTGGGCTACTGTTGCGGCTGTTGAAAAGGGAACTTGTTAGTGTAAATATTTGCAGCATAAGCTTGAAGGTTACCTTCTAGAGTGTCAGTTTCTTGTAATGTGGGACAGCTATTAGTATAATGATATGTGGCTGAGCATATCCCACATAGCATAGCTGGAATAGGTGATGATGGATGTACAAATATAACAACATCCTTTTGCATCTAAGCTAATTACTTCACCATGGAGGCCAACTCATCAATCTTGTGCTCCAATTTATTGGGCTCTGCAATATGGACTTCACTCACTCCTCTAGTTACACAAGAGTTTTATCTTGTTGCAAATTGCTGGGAATTAGCAGCCGTATTTTCAATCAAATTATGGGCTACAATAAGAGTCTTGTCCACCAATGCTCCTCCACTTGTGACGTCTATCATGCTCCTATCCATGGGATGCAGTCTTTCATAAAGGTATTGGATAAGCAATTGATCACTGATTTGGTGATGGGGGTAGCTGGCAAAAATCTCTTAAATATTTCCCAATATTAATGAGTCATAGAGTGTCTTTCTCTTAAGTTGTCTTATCCCACAAATTTCTTTCCTTATAGATGCAGCTCTTGATGCTGGAAAAACTTCTCTATGAAAAGTCTCTTCAAGTTATCCCAACTGGTTTTGAAGTCTAGTGGGAGACTGTAAAGCTAATTGTTAGCTGCATCCATCAGAGATACTGGGAAAGGCTTTCAACTTGACGTGTTCCTTAGGTACACCTTGGGGCCTCATAGTTGAGTAAACTATATGGAATTCCTTGAGGTGCTTGTACGGATCTTCACCTGCAAGGCCATGAAATCTAGGCAACAAATTTATCAGTCCAGTTTTAAGAACAAAAGGAGCATCAATATAAGGATAATGTATGCACAGTGTTTGATAAGTAACATTAGGTGTAGCTAGTTCCTTTAATGTCCTTTCATTATCAACCATTTTTTTTTAATTTCAGAATCTAAAGAATGTGGTGAAGAGTAGATAGATGAAGGAGAAGAAGGTTCCTCTATATGTTAAGAATTATGCCTATGTGTCCTAATGTTACTATAGAAAGTCCTATCAATTTTTGGATCAAGTGGATACAAGTCTCCAGGATTTGATCTAGTCATGCAATAGGAATTAACTATGAGAATTAAAAAGAAGTATACTAAATGAAGTAGCAAAAATGCAAAATCTGCAAATGACAATTATGCAGAAAAACTAATAGATGAGTGCAGTAAAATGGAACAAAAGGTTGGGCAATAGGAAACAGAAAGAAACTACAAAACAATTGCAAAGAAAAGTGCAGTACCAATTTAAAAATTCTGTAGAATTATACAGCAAAACAGGGCAAAAGTGCAGAAAACATCAAAGATATGTACCTAAATATAGAGTTACTCTATTCACTATAGAGCTATATTAATGTTAATGTATTCAGAGTGTAGAAAATTCAAAACAATTGAAATCAAACATGTTGAAAATGACAAAAATAGAACACTAAATCAAAGTATTTAACATGTTCAATGCAAAAAAAATTAACACCAATGTCTCTGGCAACACCAATTTGATGATCGCTAGATTTACATAAAGTTTTTGTTGCCAATCCTCATCAAAATATGCAGAAAAATTAATGCAGCCTAGGATGCAAGCCTAGGTTGTCTCCAATGACATTGGTTGAAAACATACATCAAACATGTTGAAAACATCAACTGAGAAAGCAAATAAAGGGGGTAGATTTATGTGATTCCAAGTTCAATGCAAAGAGCAAGAAACAAAATTATAAAGTTCAATCAATAAAGTGCAGTAACCCCCTAGTTTATTCATATAGATTCTATCTCTATTCCTCTTAAGATTTAATACACTTTCTCTTCTCCATAATTAGGTTAACTTAATAAGCGAAAATCAACTTTAAATTCTCATACAAAATTAAGCAATTCAATGGAATCCAATCTCTCATCCCAAGATTAAGCAACCTTAGAAATAAACTCAAAATTAAGCAATTCAAGTTTAGAATCTCATTAAAATGAATTAGGGTTAATTAAGCAATGTCCCCCTCATTCAATCATTAATTCAATTAAAGAGATTAGGAAGAAGAAATTTTGGATAGAAAAGAGATTTCACTAGGGATTACAAAGGGTTTAGCCATCCATGAGGATAGGTCTCACAATTGCAAAATGAAAGTGAAGAAAAATTAACAACATCAATGTAAAAATGAACGAGTAGTAAGAAGAAATTGGAATTCAAACCCTAAGTTGGGTTCTTAGCTGTCACCCAAGGTTCACCTAATTCTGCAAAGTGTTCCTAAAAAGGCAAAAATTTAAAAGTGTCAAAAGATCCCAACCCTAATTACTAAGAATATATTTATACTAAGTCTGACATCACTTCATAGTAATTACTCTTGCTCACACGTGTAGCATTCACATGTTTCCTCCCTTCTGTAGTGATCACTCTCATGTAAAGCAGTAGTTACTTTGGACATGCGTAGTTACTCTTACTTACAAGAGTAAATACACGCAGGGTGCTTTAATCTCTGCTTTACAGGAGTGATTACTCTTGCTTACAAGAGTGAACACGTGCAAGCCTGG